ATTCTGATGATTTTCGTATTTGGTTCTTTGTTGGTTGAACATTTTCCCAAATACTATTAAAACAAAGATGTTGAAATCTTGTAAGATAAACAGTCAGAAGGTGTGGAAAAAGTGTCTGCCCCCTTCTGGATTTCAATTTTTTTTGCACAGCTGTCACCCTTGTTTCAGAACATGAAACCAATTTAAATATTATTTAGGAACAATTTTGGTAATTGAGAGCTATCAGCCTGGAAGAGGAAAGGGTTACAGAGTTTAAACAGTTTCTTTTCTCCAACTTTTTCCAGAAAAAAAAAAAAAAAGGAAAACTGCGGTATTCCGCATGGGATTCAAAGACTGAATCAGACAAGTTCCAGGAAAATGAGATTAAGAGTTGAATCTTCCTCCGACAGCCCGTCTTATACACGCTGTTGGCTTTTCCTACCAGACAACCAATGCACACCAGCAAACAGGCAACACAAGTGTTTGCTGTTTGACAAGGGTGCATGTGTGTCCTGCCCTTTATAGGAGGCTAAAAAATGTTTGTGTCTGTCTTTGGAGGTTAGATGGGGGGGGGGGGGGTTGCATGCATGCTAACAATGTACCCGTGTGTCCCCTGTGTCAAAATCTGGCTAAATCAAGTGAAGCATGTTGTGTGTGCGTCAGGCCAGATCAATATGAGCTAATCAATAGGAGAAGACAGCTAGAAGGACCACAGGGACGAGATGCACACACCTGGTGTAAATGTAGCCCTTGTTTTTTATTCCACACTCGGTTTCCTCCCTTATTTTCTCTCATTTCTACTCCCATGTCTCATTCTCGCCGTAGTTCTTCAGATATTGTATTTTTTCAACCTCTTTCTGGCACAAGCACACACTAACTATCGCTCTCTTACTTTTTGCCAACCCACCTGACTGCACATTCCCTTAAACTACATTTTCTTTACGGATACAAACAACTTGGACCCAGAGACAAGAGCTGGTTTTATCTACCAGTTTGTGAAATAAACAATGATGTCACGAAGCTCTGTTTCTTGTATTTATGCAAAATTTACTGGCAGTCCTTCCAGTTAATATTTGCATCTGAATGTAAAAGACAACTTATGGCAAAATACTCTCTATTTAAATTCTCATACATGGGTTTCCTTTGAATAATTCATTTGACGTGTTTTTTTTTTTTTTTCCATTTTCAAATCTTTTAAAAGCTCAAGAAAAAGTCCAAGGTTAAGAAAAGAAATTTTGATTTGCGTGACTACAAGGATTCAGTCTTTCCTAAACGCACGCTTTGCTGAAAACCATTTAATTTCTTCATAATTTATTAAAGATTTTTAACCTGTGTAACATCTTATCTATTGAATGTCGATAAATTTTACTAATAACCAAAACAGATGCATGTAAATGAATTGGGAGCAGCAAAATCATCAAATCAAATCAAAAGTATTAATGACAAAACATTTCAAGGTTACAAATACATCCACTGTATATGTAATAGCTTGGTCCGCTCTTGAATTTTTACAGAACTAATTCAGCCTCGTTTCCCTTACAAACTTAAAGATCTTAAAAATACTGCAAAAAAAATCTATTCTAATGCAAATAGATACTGACTTACGAGCCAAGCTAAAAACAGATGGGAATAAGCCTTCAGTCGGTGCTTCAATGCTCTGGGTCTCTGTTAAATTCACTCAGCATGCAAATTGACTGTAATTCACTTACTGAGTGATAAGAGTGCTACTCTGTCTCAGTAATGCCTTTATACGCTGAATATTAAATAACTCCATGATGGAAATGTCCTCATGGTTTGGATACCCAGATTGGCATAAAGTGGGCTGACCGGGATGTTGTCTTTGGTCCGACTCAGTTTTGTACAAAATTATACATCCTTCATACATTCAATTGTGACTATTTCATGCAATATCACAACTCAAAATCTCTTCCTTTGCCTCAAAACGACTGAATATAAATTGAGAAATAAAACCTGAAACGTGGTTTTCTTGATGTTGCTTCTTACTATTTTTCTTCTGTTTGCTCAGATTCAATATTCAAATCTTTCTTTTCTGCACTTTCCAGATCTGACTTTAAACAACTAATCTTTTAGCTCGTTAACTTTACATTAAATCTTTTCTACAACCACCAGTCAATTGTATTGAATGCAACATTGAGATCCAGTAAAACCAACATTGCAGACTTTATGCCATAGTTATTTTGTTTTTCAGAATAAAAGTAACTTTGGACAAAAACAACCTTTCACTGTGTATTAAACTTAGTTTTTATAAAGTCTGCTGTGGTATTATAATCCTAATTGTCAGATTTATTTTGGATGCAAAAAAATAATTTGAAGTAACAGAAATAAAACATCTGTGTGTGTAATTAATCTGTATAGTGTTTACTCAAATAATTGAACTTCAAACTTAATAAAGGTCTGCACATCATTATTTTTCTCTCAACATATGTTTGAGAACCAATTACATTTCTGTCACTATTGTAGAAACCTTTGAGAGACATTGCTTTAGAGATTTGGAAATCTCTAGAGCAGAGCCCTGAAATGTTCTTGTTATGATAAAATCTGCTCGTTTCTTATAAAATATCTGTTAAAATCCATGCACTACATGGTTGCAGCAGGGATATTTTTCCTGTATTTCTTTTTTTTGCTTAAAAAGAGTGTGACGACTTTTACACAAACTGACGCAGGAGCTGAAAAGTTACTCTTTATTGATGCTTGAATGACAAGTTCAGCTGACAGGAAGATGGAGAGAGACAGGCACGCAAAACTTGTGAGCGCATGCATTATGCACACGCACCTTCAATCACACGTGCACAGGAAGACAAGCGCACACGAGCACAACACACCTCCCACGCTACCGAGGCACCGACTCTCCTGACAAATTGGAGCGTGCGCGAGCCTGGTTTGTTTTTGGCATTACAGCTCTGTCACATTTTTGTCAGGGCTGTGCGCGGTTCCATAGCGAGACAAAGAAAGCTAAAAAGAACACTCATGTTGTTCTCCAATCCCGCGTTCTCCCTCTGTCTCCGTCCTGCTTTTTACTGATGCTGCTCGTTGGGTTTGAAGTGGGAATGTGGAGCAGAAGTCAGCATCATGTGATGCATAATTATTAGTGTCCTATTGTTACAGCCCAGACTGTTATATAATTCAGAGAAGACATCCACATTTTGATTGCAAATGAAGCGGTGTCCTATGGCTTTAAATAAAAGATTTAGTGTATTGTCTTCTCATCCAGTCTGTTGGAACAGTTTTCTGAATAAAATGCCTAATGCTCCGCATGAAAAGTTGGATGAATTCACATGATTATAGCTGAACAATGTGCTATTCAAACTAACCAGATGCAAAGGGGAAAAACCACAAACAGGTAAATCTAATGTCACTGGCTCTATAGTAACATTAGTAAAACACTCTTGAATTAAAAGGAACATAATTGCTCTTTTTTTTTCTTTGCTTCTCGCAAAAGTCAGATGTATTTGACGAGAAAAAGCGAAAATAGATTTTATCCTTCTGTAGAAACAAGAATAGTCTGGCAGAGCATTGCCACACGGTTTACTGCACTCAACAAATTGATGTAAATTTTCTGGTATTCAGTTATTTTAGAGGGATCCAGGACTAGTTTAACATGTTGGCCTAAATATGTTGTAAATTCAACCTAATTGTTTTGTGACACATAAAAGTTCATTACTTCAAAAATTATGCTGCATCAACATTTTCACGAGTTTTCTGTTGAAACAAACATGATCAGCTTGTGATCTACTGTTTACTTTATTAGATAGAGCTAACAACATTAGCAGGAGCTAAAACCATTAGCAGGAGCTAAAACCATTAGCAGGAGCTAACACCGTTAGCAGGAGCTAAAACCATTAGCAGGAGCTAACACCGTTAGCAGGAGCTAACATCATTAGCAGGAGCTAAAACCATTAGCAGGAGCTAACACCATTAGCAGGAACTAACACCATTAGCAGGAGCCAACATCATTAGCAGGAGCTAAAACCATTAGAAGGAGCTAACACCATTAGCAGGAACTAAAATAAAATCAAAAGAAATGGGAAGATAATGAATGGATGTGCAAAGTGACAATGAAGCAACTTCAAGTCAACACACACTGTTTGGGAAAATGCATTATCTACCCAGAATGCACTGCATCGTAAACGTGGCAATGTCAGTGTGACATTTTATTTAAATTAATAAAAACTAAACAGCCTGGACTATTTTTACTTTACATATGAAATTAATGTTTTTCAAATAATCTATTGTTACAACTAGTTGTGGATTCCATTTAGTAAAACGGTCAATATTTATTGGCAGTGGCACCATTCTTAATAGCAAACTATGTAGAGTTGAAGTAAGATGTTGACTGCTAAAACATCTCCATAGACTGAATCTTAGCCATCCGTTGTGATTTGCTTTCAGCATCTAAATTATGTGCTGAGTCACTGAGTTGATGAGGAATATTCATGTTGGCTGTGCTCAGAAATCTTCATTTCTACTTCTACTTCTTTTTGGAAAGATTTTTCGAAGACCAATAATGGTTATTTTTGGTGTTGCTACCTTGTTGTTGAAGTCAGACATTTTGAGTTCTTCACCTACATTAAAAAAACGGCTCATTACACTCAGAAAATGTGCAGCTTAAGGGTGTGTACGTGTGTGTTTGCCTAAAACGTCCAACTGAGGATAATTAGCTTGTCCTGCTGGGCAGCAAGGTATGAGAGAGGCATAGGTTTTTGCATAAACACTCTGTATTCGTGTGCCAGCTATTGTCGAAGTTTAGGCCTTTTTTCTAATGGAAGAGTTTTGGTGTGTGGGTGTGTGCACTCAGACGGTATTTTAACACGGCTAGCCGACTTCTTGCAGCCCACAGTTAAACAGTGACTCACAAATTCCTCTCTCACTCTGCCTCGCTTTCTCACCATCATCGTTTTTTCCCCCTCTGTTATTTCTCACTACTTTTTTTTAACACATTTCACTGGTTTTCTGACATTTTCTTTCTCTGACATGCCTTCTCTTTTTCCCCTCCTCTGTAGGTTTGGTGCTGACTATAGCAAACTTTAGGACAGAGGTGCTTCCCCTCCGCTCTCTCCCCATCGCCTCGCCCCCCTGCTGGCAAAGCTCCTGTCAGCCCCACACCCAGTAAGTTAAAACACTCCTACACTTGATATTTAATTTGTCTATTTAGTCATTGATTTCCCTTTAATTTATATAAGTATTCAAGGTTACAAAGTATATGGCCTTGGGCATCTCCTCACTTGCCTTGCCTTGCACTTGCCACTTTTTTGTTTTAAAATTCAATCACAGAAGTACTTCTGGTTTAGTGTGTACACTATGTGCCAGTATTTGGGAACATTTGGGAACTTCCAGAATCTATATTGTGATGACCAGATTATTTTGGAGGATTGCATCTATCAAGGTTGACATGCAAAATTACTTAGAGTCTTCATGATGGCTCACTGCTAAGAACAGATATTAAAATGGAAGTAAGGCACCAATAATATCCCAGTAAAACAGATTTAATCAACTATAGTTGGTTTGATAGCTATGACTCAAGAGTTATAATGTGCAATGTTTATGGATTAATAAAAAAAAGAAAGGTGCCACCTGATCAAATTGCCTTATTTTAAACCAAAAAAGTAACAATTATATCTGCAGCTTCTAATGTAATATTGATTATGGATGGAGTTACAATAACTCCATCTGTCTTTATGTTGCATGATATTTCTATAGGATACAGCTATTTTGATTCATAGATGAAAGAACAGAGCTTCATGGGTTTTTTTGATGTTCTGATCTTTAAGTTTTTTTTTAGCAGTTTAAGAAAGTTTAGAATAACTAGAACCATTAGTTCAGAGTTAAAGAGCAGTAGTAATGATTGTCCTATCAGTATCACCAAATCTTCATAAAAGCTATAAATTTGATGCTTTTCCACACAACTTTACCAAGGGTGCTGTTTATTAAACATGTAGATTAGAAAGAATAAACATAGAAAAGATCAGCTTTTAGCTTTGAGTTTGACATTTTCAAATAGCAAAATGTCTGTAGTCAAAGTTTAAGGATTTAAGTTGTCAAAGGCAAGTAGGACAAATATGAGCTGCCATGTTTGTGATATGCAGGTTTGACTCTAGAGATGTTATGTAAAAGCCTGTGGAATAATGTGTCTGCTACACATTAGACCATTTACTCATACCAGCTAGTAGTACTAATTGCTCCAGGAGAAAACAACTAAAAAGAAACAAATGTAATAAGCTTTGTACAAGCCCCCAGTCTCACATGCTTTCATACAAAGAATGCTGTTTCCCCAAATCAAAGCCCAAATCAAAAGCAAAGCCGAATGTTCTTGTCCGTAAAGAAAAAAAAAAGTTTCCTGACGCACAAGGGTGCACACGTACACAACCCCCGAGGGCCCCAGGGACTTCAAAGAGCCGTCTACTGTACCTCAGCGACACCTCAACACCAGGTGCCACAGAAATGAGGAAGGAAGGAGGGAGAGTGGGTAGAACTGGCTCTGGAGAAGGAGGCTGAACGCCAAGAACAGGCTTTGGGACGATGGTTAAAAAGAAGAAACAAACAAGGTCAGAATCGAAGCGAGAGATAGAGGAAATATGTGGGAGTGAACAAGGTTACAGAGAGAAAGAGGAGACAGAAGAGCAGAAGTGGAGATGACGACTGGAGGGAAAAGAGAAGTTGGAAAGGAAGGAAAAGCAGCAGAGAGAAAGTCTGACATGGACCAGAAAGACAGACAGAGTGGCAGAAAAGAGAAACAGACAGGGAGCAGTTGGAGCTGAAGACAGAGGCATGTGGGGGAGGGCAGTAACAGTGTGCTGCTAATACCCACTGCTGCTTTGTTGTGAAGAACCCCAGTTCCCTTTTTTTATTGGTGAACTATTCCTTTAATGACAGCAGTAAAACACAGTCACACACGTACATATTGCTGTTCCTCTCTGGCTGACAGGATATAATGTTCTGAGCACAACGTGACGAGCCACAGTTCAACTTTTACAACTTGCAGGCTGAACGTTTACACTCACACAAACCAAAGTTTAAAGGGAATATATATATATATATATATATATATATATATATATATATTGCACCCAAAGAAAGACACAGGTCAAAGATTGGTTTATTTTATGATTGGAGTGGAATGTATAAGAATGTTTACAGGCAGAGGTAAGACCAGATATTTACATTAACTACATAAAGGCATAACCTTTTCTCACTGTTTGCCTTTAAATCAGGCTAAAATATTTTATTTCATGAACATTTCAATTACAATTACCAAAATTATTCCTTTTCAGTGCATGTCATATTAGTGGAAAAACAAAATAATTATAAAAAGTTACTTATTTGGTACATGAAACCACATGACAGGCGTCAAGCATTATGTATTCTCCTCTCACAATCGCTTGCTAGAATTTTGTCCCATTCCTGCAGACAGAACTGTGAACTGGTTGCCCACTTCTCTAAGACTGAGATCAGAACTTTGTGATGCCCAACCCCAAAATACTACTTTGTTGTCCTTAACCCTTTCATGCATGAATTATGATCCTTTGTGTCAGGATTTTTTTTCCAAAGTTTTTTTTATTTTCTTAAGGCATAAAAAAAGGTAGGATTTTTCTTTTCTTTTTTTTTTTTTTTTTTTTTTTTTGGGGTTAAATTTAAAAAGATTTTTTTTTTTGGGGTTTTTCTAGTTCACAAATTTTTT